GTTGTTCCACTGGTTAATTGTTCTAACTGTCAGGAAGTTTCTCCTTAGTTCTAGGTTGCTTCTCTCCTTGATTAGTTTCCATCCGTTGCTTCTTGTCCTGCCTTCAGGCGCCTTGGAGAATAGCTTGACTCCCTCTTCTTTGGGGCAGCCCCTGAGATATTGGAACACTGCTATCATGTCCCCCCTCGTCCTTCTCTTCATTAAACTGGACATGCCCAATTCCAGCAACCGTTCCTTATATGTTTTAGCCTCCAGTCCCCTAATCATCTTTGTTGCTCTTCTCTGTACTCTTTCCAGAGTCTTAAAGAGGTCCAACTGGTGGCATCAAGAAGAAGGACTTTCTCCACGGTGGCTCCCACCTTGTGGAACATCATCCCTGTGGAAATAAGTTTGGCCCACTTCGTCACTTGAAGACGTGGTTTTGCCAGTGGGCCTGAGGACCCCAGGGTGGCATGGAGACCATTAAGTGGTCGGTTTGATTGTTGTCACCAGGAAGCAGAGGTGATTGGATTTTCTCTGGGCTTCTATTTCTGTAAGCTGCCTTGACTTACTGTGTCTTGGGTGGCCATATAAATTTTCTTAGTAAATAAAGAAAGAATAAAACTAAATAAACAAATGCAGGGCTCTGCTGTTTCCTTTGCCTTTGTCTCCTTGGTTTATTTTAGCAAAAAGTCTAGGAAACTGTAACATGAAATTCAGGGTGCTGGGAGGAACAGGATATTTTCAACATATACTTTAGCAACACACTAAACCAGGGGTAGGCAACCTTGACTCTTTTATGACTTGTGGACTTCGACTCCCAGAATTCCTGAGCCAGCACAGCTGGCTCAGGAATTCTGGGAGTCGAAGTCCACGAGTCATAAAAGGGCCAAGGTTGACTACCCCTGCCTTAAACCATGATTAAAGCAACAAAAACAATTAAATTTATCACTAATGAAATATATTTCTCCTCAGGAGATGCATCTTCCTTTAAGCTGGTTAAGTGTTTTGGGCGAGCACTGAGATTTGCAGAAGACGATTGCTGAAAAATGATGTGGATTTTGTACAGACAGATGAACGGGTCAATCTATCTTCTGTGCATGCTTAGCCATGTGCTTTATCATTGTTCCTTTTGTATTTCAAAGCAAAGAACAGAAGAGTCCTGACAAATAGTGCTTTGTCGCACCTGTACATTCATGATATGCAGCCGATTAGCTCTTCCTGGGTTTCTGATCTGCATTAGTGGAACAGCTTTACCTCCAGAAATCCTGGGCGCTCCATCGCTGGAAGTTTTTAAAAAGAGACTGGACAATCACCTGTCTGAAATGGTATAGGTCCTCTTGCTTGAGCAGAGGGCTGGACTAGAAAAACTCCACTGTCCCTTGCAGTTCTATTCTATTCTATTCTATTCTATTCTATTCCAATCCACTCCACTCCACTCCACTCCACTCCACTCCATTCCATTCCATTCCATTCTATTCTATTCTATTCTATTCTATTCCATTCCATATTCTCTTCTCTTCTCTTCTCTTCTCTTCTCTTCTCTTCTCTTCTCTTCTCTTCTCTTCTCTTCTCTTCTCTTCTCTTCTATTCCAATCCATTCCATTCCATTCTATTCTATTCCATTCCACTCCACTCTCTATTCTATTCTATTCTATTCTATTCTATTCTATTCTATTCTATTCTATTCTATTCCATTCCATTCTATTCTATTCTATTCTATTCTATTCCAATCCACTCCACTCCATTCCATTCCATTCCATTCCATTCCATTCTATTCTATTCTATTCTATTCTATTCTATTCTATTCCATTCCATTCCCTATTCTCTTCTCTTCTCTTCTCTTCTCTTCTCTTCTCTTCTCTTCTCTTCTCTTCCAATCCATTCCATTCCATTCTATTCTATTCCAGTCCATTCCACTCCACTCTCTATTCTATTCTATTCTATNCCTGCCCACAGGGTCACTCACCGTCTCCAGGGCCTGCCACAGATCGCCCAGCAATGCCATGGCAGCCACACCCTCTGCCTGCGCCCCGCAGCATCAACTGTGCGCGATGGGGCTTGAGGACAGAGTCTTGTCTACACTGCCTGACTGCTGTGTCCTTGGCTGCACTGCTCCACGTGGGCCACGCTCGGGGGCGACTCTCCTCCAGGGGGGCTGCTGGTGAGGAGGGGGTCACTGGGGGAGGCAAGGCTGGGGCAACGGCACGTGTACCCACAGAGAGGGCTCCGGGTGCTGCCTCTGGCACCCGTGCCATAGGTTTGCCACCACTGGTCTAGTCTCTTCTTAAAGACCTCCAAAGATGGAGCACTGACGATTTCTGAAGACAAGCTGTTCCACTGGTTAATTGTCCTCACTGTTAGGAGGTTTCTCCTTAAGGGGCTTCAAAAACTCTTGGAGAGCTAATGATAGACCTTCAGAGTTCTAACAACCAGATGACTGCAAAGAATATACATCCTTCCATTCCCTACCAGTTAGTTCAGGCATGTCAAACACGTGACCTGCGGACCGGATGTGGGCCATGCAGGCTACACCCACCCCGGCCCCACAAAGGCAAAAAAAAGTCCCAATATGTCACGATACGGCCCATGATGTGATTGGGTTTGACTTCCATGGGTTAGTTAGAACTGAAGAGGCTTCTTGGATGAGAAGCAAAACATTTTCAAAGAAAACACCCAGAAAATCCAGTTACCTTTTGGAAAAAGCACCTTGGGGCCACCATGACCTGGATGATTGAGAATCTCTACAGAGAAGCTGCATGGGGTGATACCTCTCTCTAAGAAGAATTCTACATCTCTAAAGTCCAACACTTACCCATCTACTTCATCCACAGGGAAGCCCTCCATCTCAAATCGGCAGGCACAGCCATAGTCTTCAAAGTCTTTGGGGCAAATGCCAGTCACACACTTCATTCTGCTCACCAAGTTGAGCAACGGAGGAAAGCTGGTGAATATGGACTGAAGCCAAGTGAAGTGAGAGCCCAAACAGTCTGCAAAGATGGGAAGAAGCTAAAGATAAATCNTTCTATTCTATTCTATTCTATTCCATTCCATTCTATTCTATTCTATTCTATTCTATTCCAATCCACTCCACTCCATTCCATTCCATTCCATTCCATTCCATTCTATTCTATTCTATTCTATTCTATTCTATTCTATTCCAGTCCATTCCATATTCTCTTCTCTTCTCTTCTCTTCTCTTCTCTTCTCTTCTCTTCTCTTCTCTTCCAATCCATTCCATTCCATTCTATTCTATTCCAGTCCATTCCACTCCACTCTCTATTCTATTCTATTCTATTCTATTCTATTCTATTCTATTCTATTCTATTCTATTCTATTCTATTCCAATCCACTCCACTCCACTCCACTCCACTCCATTCCATTCTTCTATTCTATTCCAATCCATTCCACTCCACTCCACTCTCTATTCTATTCTATTCTATTCTATTCTATTCTATTCTATTCTATTCTATTCTATTCTATTCTATTCCATTCCATTCTATTCTATTCTATTCTATTCTATTCTATTCTGATGCATCCATATTTCTTAACCATTCATGGAAAAAGTTAGCACAATTAATCAGTGGAACAACTTGCCTCCAGAAGTTGTGGGCGCTCTAACAATGGTGGTTTTTAAGAAGAGATTGGACAACACTTTGTCTGAAATGACATAGGGTTCCCTGCTTGAGCAGGGGTTGGACTAGAAGGCCTCCAAGGTCCCTTCCAAATCTGTTATTCTGTTAAATACAGCTATAGACAAGCGGAGTCTTAATCCAATGGAAACAAACAAGCAAATAAAAGGTCACTTACCAAAGAACAAAGCAACACCTTCCACATTTTCAAAGACTCCGTTGAAGAAGGTGATATTATCTGAGGGGAAACACAAACTATTAAAACATAAATAGTTTCAAAATATAAAGATACAGCCTTGATTTCAGAAGATAAAAAGGGTCGGTCTTGGTTATTATTAGGATGGGAGACCATGCGAAGTTCCCCAAATTGTAAGCTGGGCCTGGGAATTTGAAAAAGCATCCTAGCAGAAGGCAGTGGAACAGCAATTCTCTACTGCTCTGAAGAGTTGAGCTGAACTGAAGGAAATCTTTTTCCCCTCATGAACGCTTTTCAGATCTTATGAATGTATGGGACGTGGAATCTAAAGTGAGACTCAAATGGGCTCCAATCTCCATTAGTTTTAGGAATTCTGAACCTCAATAATGTCTGATCGAGAGCTATCTTGCAATTATCTCAACCTGAAAAATCAGAGGTTTCCAGATTCTGCATTCTCGTAATGCAATATTTCACAGCCTGGCAACCTTGCTGACTGGGGAATTCTGGGAGCTGAAGTCCACACAGCTTAAAGTTGCCAAGTTTGAGGAACAGTGTCCTGTTGAAGAGAATATTCATAGCTTGGGGTAAAACTGTGGGGATCTTGTTTTCTTGCAGAGGTTTCATTAATCAACTAGATCAGGGGTAGGCAACCTTGGTTCTTTTATGACTCGTGGACTTCAACTCCCAGAATTCCTGAGCCAGTCATGCTGAGGGGAAAGGGAGAGGTTTCCAAGCTGAGCCATGCTGGCTCAGGAATTCTGGGAGTTGAAGTCCACGAGTCATAAAAGAGCCAAGGTTGCCTACCCTTGAACTAGATAACATCATCAGTGCCCTGAAGATGTTACCTAGTTGGGTAATGAAATGTCTGCAAGAAAACAACCAAGCTCAGGGGGCACCAGGGACTCTACTGTCCTGATAAATGGAGAGCATTACAAAATCACAGCAATTATATCACATCTTATAGCAACAGGAGGCAAATTTCACCTTTACAAGATAAAAATCCAAGATCCACCATCTGTCTCTTAATCTCTTGATCCCAAACACAAATTGTTTATTTTATCTTTATTTTTTTTAATGAATATGTTTGTAGAAGCAAAACAGAATGGAGTTTATAATATGTCCATAAAAACTTACAGAAATATGTATTTGGTGTCTACATTTTTGCTCGTTTTATTTTGCTAGTGTAATTTAGGGCACGAAACTGCTTTGTTATTGGCGTTGCTCATATTTTTGGCCTGTTACCCAATTTAGCAATAGTAAATGCAAGAACTGTGGGGAAATTCCTTTATTCCGTGAACCGGTTTGGCAAAATTGGAAAGTGCAAAAAGTGATTTAATTTAAAGAGAGAAGTCAAACATGTGGCAGCTTCTCCTCCCTCCAATGTGAATTGGTACCATTCTGCACAATCTCATATTTCTGCTGCTAAGAAGTCCTTTTAATTGCTTTTTTTTTTTCCCCTTCCTTTTTGGTGAAAGCCAACATTAATGCACTTTAAGACTGCTTCAACAAATCCTGCCTCTGATTTGTTGAAGGGAGTAATTCAATCCTTTTGCTGCCTTCAAGGGAAGATTATAATTTAATGTTTTCATTATCTATTAATGCCACAAACCTCTCAGAAGCAAGAGGTCAGGCTTTGAATATATAGAAGGACTCTGAAATTTCCTTCTTGTTATTTCCAATTCAGAACATCTCAATAAAGAGCCAACATGAGGATAGAGTTATTCATTTAAGGTTTTTGTTTTTTTATTTATCAAATGTCTAGGTTGCCCAACTCCAGCCCAACTCTGGATGGCTTTGCAATTAAAAAAATAGCAACAATATTGTATTTATTTATTTTTTTAAAGAGCAATCATTCAGAGGGAGCAAATCCCTAAAAGTGATGGCGAACCTTTTAGAGACCGAGTGCCCAAACTGGTACCCAAAACCCACTTATGCATTGTCGGGTGCTGGGTGGGTGTGGCCCATTGGGTGGGTGTGGCCAATTGGCTGGGTGTGGCCCATTGGGTGGGCATGGCTGCAGTGGTAACGGCAGACTGGATGGGACTAAAAAGTTCAATCAATCAATTCCAACTTTGTAAGATCTTTTTTTTCCCGCAAGAAGTTGAAATTGACTGATTGATTGAACCTTTTTTTTTTTTTTGCACACGGCGGCGGAGGCCTAAAGTGAAAAGGTTTTATAAAACCCAGCTGAAGGCCCAGGACTGGGGCGACAGTGCACGTGCCCACAGAGAGGGCTCTGAGTGCCGCCTCTGGCACCTGTGCCATAGGTTCACCGCCACTGCCCTAAAACATGCTCACCCCATTTTATGATTCAAAGAGGCCCAACCCAACACAAATTCAAGGTCCGAGGGAAGAGCTAGGTTTTATATAAAGACAGTAGGTTGAGGGTTGTATGAATCTCTGGGGAGATTCCAAAAGATGGACAGTGTGGAAACTGCCTAACTTCTAGCTTGAAAAGTCTAGTCTACATTGTTCAGCTATTCCTAAAGATAACTGGGATGATCTTGGAGAAGAACTGCAGAGACTATAAGCGAACCATGAATTCATTCTGGAGAGACAAGAAAAAGAAACTTAACAATTGTCCAATCATGACTCTTTGGTATAAACTCTGGTATAAAAGATTGATGTCAGCCTTTTGAGGCAGGCCAGGCCAGGAAACAGGGTCCACAAAAAATACCAGAAGGCTACTGTATTGACAGGATCTTGAAAGCCTATCAGCCTTTCCCCTTCCTTCCTCTTATACCAGGGGTCTTCAAACCTGGCCCTTGTATGACTTGTGGACTTCAACTCCCAGAATTCCTCAGCCAGCGTGCCTGGCTGAGGAATTCTGGGAGTTGAAGTCCACAAGTCATAAAAGGGCCAGGTTTGAAGACCCCTGTCTTATATCAACGCAAATCATGATAATGGTGTCTTGAGCATGCCTGGCTGAGGAATTCTGGGAGTTGAAGTCCACAAGTCATAAAAGGACCAAGTTTGAAGACCTCTGTCTTATATCAACGTAAGTCATGATAATGCTGTCTTGAGTTACTTTCTCACACGTTCCTGTTTTTCCAAGCTAAGTTCACGTTAGAAATTGTAGAAAACATTCATAGCTTGGGTTGTAGATTTAGGCAGAGGTAGGTTCTCCAAGTTTGCTGATGGGCTCCCAGATGTCTCATTACCAAACTAGGTAACATCATCAACAGGGGTTTTGGGGGGAAGTGTCTCATTCATTTATATAAGTCCTGGGTGATCAGTTGGTTTTATGACTGGTTGAGTCACAGGACTGATGGAATCATAAGACTGAATCACAAGGCTGGTTGATTCAGAAGAAGTCTTGTGACTTCTGACTGGTTGACCCGTAATGAATCAATAAGGAAGCAGGCCGTCTGTACCACCAGCCAACGACAGATCCGACCACACACACCCAGGTGAATTTCGCACCTCACAGCAACCAGTCAGAAGGTTGCTGTGAGGAAAAAAACCACTGAAGATGTTACCTAGTTTGGCAACAAAATGTCTGGGAGCCAAACAGAAAGCTTAGAGGACACATCTCTGCCCAAGTTCATGTTTTGCTAATGGTTTGACAGATCGTCTCCATGGTTTTCTCTACATCTGTCTGTAATCTAGCCCAGGTGTAGGCAACCTTGGCTCTTTTATGACTCGTGGACTTCAACTCCCAGAATTCCTGAGCCAGCCATGCTGAGGGGAAAGGGAGAGGTTTCCATGCTGAGCCATGCTGGCTCAGGAATTCTGGGAGTTGAAGTCCACAGGTCATAAAAGAGCCAAGGTTGCCTACCCCTGATCTAGCCCTTTCCAGTTATTTGGGAATTAGCTAGGAATTTAGGGGGAAAGGTGGAGAGTTGAGTTGCCAGGACTTTGTAACTCCTTGTTTGCCGAAAAAATTGATTGTCTTACTTAGATTTCTTTCTGCGGCATGTGGGAGATCCAGGGGGATGCCTGTAGCTCCTGTCTCTGATCCTTGAGTACCTGCATCAACCATTCCATCCAAACACACACAGAGAGAGAGAGAGAGAGAGAGAGAGAGAGAGAGAGAGAGAGACAGACAGACAGACAGACAGACAGACAGACAGACAGACAGACAGACAGAGACAGAGAGACACACATACACGCACATTCAAATGGGAAATCAAATTAGCTCTTGAGGATAGGTTAGCAGTCCTAAACCATTCCACACTTTACAAAAGATAAACGTAAATTGACCCCCTCCTTTCTCACAAGAATGATGGACAAAGAATTGCAAAAAATAAGTTATGGAATCTTGCTTTCATACATGATAACCGCCGCAGGATTATTGTATGTGCAAAAATGGGAAGATTCAACATTATCCGCAATGCAGGAATGGCTGGTGAAGATGATGGAACTTTCAGGGAAGGCTAAATTGGTCTTCTTTGATCAAAGACAAAAATCTATATTTATAATGACTTGAAAACCCTTATAGACTTTTTTTCATGAAGCAGAAAAAAATGAATCTATGGTTTTGATGGTTTTGATGATTAGACTGGAGAAAGAAGAGAGTCATATTGTAACCACAGAGGAAGAGGCAACTTATAATTGTACCTGCTGTAAAGATCAGAAGGTTTGTATGTTTTTCATTTTTCTTTTACTTTTTTTCCCCTTCTCTTGCATTTTTAGCTTTCGTTTTGACCTCTTTTTCTTAGTTTATATTAGTTTGTAGTTCATTTTTATCTTTATTTTTAACACCTTTAATAAAACTGTATACACACGAACTTTTATTAAAGATGTTGGTGGTGGTGTGTGTGCGTTGTGTGTGTGTGTGTGTGTGTGTGTGTGTGTTGATGAAAAGCATCCATGAAAGAGACCTAAAACAAGATGGACCCACAATACTTGCTGTTGTCCTTGATCCATCTTGTTTTAGGTCTCTTTCGTGGACATTTTTCATCCATATATTTATATATATATATGTATACATGTACACACCTATATACATATATACACGTGGGGGGGAGATGCATGGTTAAAAAGTTTGATATATAAATAAATAAAAGAATATATATTATATATATATTCAAGATGGACAATATTTAATATTTATTTGCTACGTATATGTAGAGATGTGGGTCTATACATATGTTGTTCATAGTATGTTTAGGTGTGTGTCATGTATGTGTTTTACTTTGAGAGCGGGCAACTAAATTTCATTTTTGATGTGTGCCATTGTGCCCACAGTATAAAAATGACAATAAAGGTTATCTTATCT